TTTCGGTACCATTCGAATCGTTTTGATAATTTGATTCGAATGGTACCGAAATTACGCAGATCCGATTACCAGATCACGAGAAATTTGGCCATAAAAAATCCTCCGAGGGGGTGCTTATTTTCGGTAATATACGGTATAAAAATATTGCAATGGTGACTTAATTACTTTTATTCAAAAATTATGCATAAACAACTGAATGCCAAATTAACAAATCCATTTTTGTCTTAAGAGCAGATCAGTTAAAATAACGTTTTTATAAAGATCTTTGCTATCACTTTTACTCCACCAAATCAATTTTATTACTTTCAATATTTGGAATATTAAGCAAGTATTTTAATTAAGAGCTTTCGCTAAATTCCTATTAATGAGCGTGCTATAGTTGTTTATTTTTTTTGAATTTAACTTTAAATAACCGGCGATCATCACCGCTGTATAATTAGCCAATAACGATAAAACAATAAAAAATTTCATTTCATTTACTTTAGGGTTAGGGCGAGGCCTGGGATTTTGAAAGGTGTCATTTATATGCAAATTTTAGCAAGGAATTTTTTTTGTTAGAACGTCGAAGGTGGTTTCATAGGCGAATTCTTGAGAAATTAGCATATTTTTTTTAAAAAAAACAATTTGCATGTTACACCTGATCCTGGAAATTTATTGGCTAATTACACACCGGTGATGATCACCGCCGGTTATAGTTATAAATATTCTTTATAACAAAGATTTAAAAAGTTCAATTGATATTTTTATAAAGAACTCATAAATTTGCTTCTACATCACCAAGTTTGTTATAGGTTATATATAGAGCTATATTTTTGTAGAGTCTTTGCTAATATCTTTACTACTATCTTATTATAAACAATTCTACATATAAATATTTACACTAATAATATTGCAGTTAAAACTATTCGACTATTTGAATCATGTTCTTGAACTTTATATTATAATGCAAGTGGAATTAATTTAACTATTAGAATTAGGATTTAGGTTTATATAATTAATTCTATTATCAATCCTAAATTCAAAGAACTTGATATTTTTTTCAATAACTTCTGTATACAGTAAAAAATATTTTAAATAACTTCTGTACACAGTAAAAAAATATTAATAAGATTTTTTTATTTTTTTATAATAAAAATAATGTTGGCTAATTTGCCATTCAAAGAAAAGAAATATTGTAAAGAAATTATGTTAAAAAAATCCAAAATATACTATAAATTATATCTAATAATTAAACAATGACCAGTTACTATACAATTCCGTGCTCCTCCCTTCCACCATTTTTTTCGCTTTCGCTTACATCACCACTTCTATCACTTCTTCTTCCTGGGCTAATATTTCCAGGTGTATGTACAGGACTTACACTCAAATTTCTATGACTTCTCCCTTGTCCGTACCTAATTCTCCCCGTCAATACTTCATCTCTATCCCCTTCGTATCCCTGTTCTCTTTCAGCTTCTTTCAAATTTTCTCTACTTTTACCTTGACCTCCTTTTGAAGACTCACTATAATCAGGACCTTTTTTCATGGACTTTTTCCTAGCAGCGAGCTTAGCTGCCTCAATAGAAGCTTTAGATTCTTCCAAATGATCTTTAGCTAATCTTTCAACTTCACTCATCAATTGTTTCCAAGCATCTTCACCACCTTTTGGAGGTTCATATTGCCTTTTAGATTGACGCCATCTTGCGATACCCATATACATTTTTCCTACTATTGCGTGAAGGATTACTAGTGATGAAGTCACTAGGGTTAAAAAAGGGATGACACTATAACTCGCTGTATTTAACTTATACAAGACCTATATTTTTTATAAATATTAATACAAAAATTTTTATAAAAAAAAAAAAATGAAAATTATATAAATATATTTAATAATAATATAAAGTATATTATTAATTACCAACCTGAATAATAAATTTTGGTATATCTTCAACAAAAAAACCCACCAAACTTCCTGTAAAAATCATCATACCAGCCCATTCACTCCATGGTGCTTGTAATGCTTTAACACCACCAGCTCTAGAATTTAATATACTTAAAACTTCAATATCTGCCATCCCAAAAATTGTAAACATAGAAGCCACAGGGGTATGATATTTAAACCAAGTAAAAAAATCAGAATTTGTAA